GTATAGATGTTTTCGGCCTAAAATTCCAGAGATAATATATTTTAAAATGAATTTAAAAAAAGTGTCTTTTATCATTTCCCAACCTTGCACAATAGTATGTTCTGGTACTGAAGAAGTAATCCATGGTTCAGTTGGATTTCGTGAAAAATCTGAAATTTTTCCCCTTTGCCAATCATGAATGAACTAAAAAATTCAGAAAATAAACATTTCTTATCAGTATATTTTTCTTACCAACAATTCCGATGGACCATCTTCAGCATTATCATTTGTTTGTTCTTCACCAATTTTACTAAACAATTAACAAATTAATAAAGAACAAAAACAAATGGCATCTTCACCTTAAATTCCAAACACGTAATCGTCTACCAGTACTACTTGAAGCAATTGTTTCATTATGAGGTGACGATTGTACTTGAAATATTTCATTTTTATGTGATTCAAATATATGTAATTTTAACATGAGGTTTCGAAGATCCCAAAGTGCAACTGTCTAAATAATAAATAGTTAAAAAAAATAAGAACTAAAACTCCAAACAAACTTTATCAGCTAAGCCAGTTGCACGAATATATTCTGAAAATGAATTAAATGATAAGCAATCAACTTCTGCACTATGTGCATCAGCAACATGAGATGATTTTGTATAATGGGATGAACGTGCATCCCAACTAAAAAATAAAATAAAATTGAATTGATATTTAAATAAACTAAAAAAATATATTAATTTATTTTTACATCGTTAATTTACGATCATCACCAATGGAACCAAAAAGTGTTTTATGAAATAAATGCCAAGCAAAATCTTATTAAAAAAAGCAAATATTAAAACTTTTTGGTTTTTTCCTTTATTTTACTTTGACGACAGCTTGATGTGCAGAAAAAATTCGTAATGGATCAACAAATTTTTCTTCTATTGCTGGTTTTTCAGTATTCCTAAAACAAATTGTTTGATCATCGGATGCAGATAATATATGTCTATTAATATTAGGATTCCATGAAAGAGCATAACCTTCGTTTGTATGTCCACGAAGACGTAACTTAGGACGACAATCAATCTTTTGAGTTGCTAATTTAGTATAATTATATATTAATACAACAGCTGATGGACCCATGTTGTGAATACCGGATCATTTTTTCCGGTAAACCGCGGTATTTGTCTTTCCTCCGGTAAATTACACTAATATGGGAGCCGGTAACCGGACCGGTAGAAACGCGGTAAACCGGCGTTTTTTTCCGCATGTTTACCATACGTAAAAGTAAAAAAAAAAAGGATGTCTAAAATAGCTTAATTGATGATTTGGAACACTTTTTTTGTCAAAGATTATAGACGAACCGGTTAACCGGTTTTTTTTAGCGGTAACCGCGGTATTAATCAAAACCGGCGGTTTACCGCGGTAAATTTTCACTGATGGGAGCCGGTAACCGGTCCGGTAAAACCGCGGTTAACCGCCGATTTTCTTGCGGTTTTTATTACATGGGTATCGTATGTATTTATATGTTTAATTTATTAAACTATTGTGTGTTTTATCTTCTTAGATTCTCTATTTGTTAAATTGAAAAAAAATCTTTGATCAAAATCTTTACATACGTTCATCAGTATGATCAAACGCATATGTTTTATTCATTAAACTATTGTTTTCTTTACTTTCGTAGATTCTTCATTTGTGAAATTGAAAGAATCTTTGATCAAAATCTTCACGTGGTTGTTCATTAGTATGATTACATCTATTTATATTTTTAATTTATATCATTATTTCTTTTATTTTATCAGAATTAAGGTCCGTCGTCGAATCATCCTAAGAATTTATTAGTAAGATCTAATAGATATGCATATTTTTGTTATCTGTCAGTAATTAGTTTTTGTACATTAGAATTTTCATTTGTTGAACTTTGCAAAGATAGTTGGTAATGGCAGATAGTAAGAAAACTACCAATGAACAAGTTAATGTTAGAGAGTCTAAAAATCATATCGAGTCATCTGGGAAAATTGAACGGAAAAATGCTATTTATTTTGACAAATTATTTTTGTTCATTGATTTTGCGTATTTGAAACTTGTGATTGGTATTAATTATTTACAGTCATATACAAAAGCAATCTCATACAAACTACTTATGGATGTTTTTTGTCAGATGATCTTTTTTTATTTTGGTTTGCTCACCTACAAATCGTATATCAAAGTCGACGAATCGATTGCTGATTTCAAGAACAAGGAAATATTATTAAATGAAATTTTACAGCGTAATATTAGTGCTGCATTTTTTCATGATAAAAGTTTGTTTTGGGGCCCGACTGATCATTATTTAAAAAATAAATATGGGGCGTTAATAACATTAATAAATAAAGAATTAGTTCACACGAAAGTTCATAATAAATATAATGATTTATTTTTTAATCACTGTACACAAATCGGTCTCTTAACAACAACATTCCCCTTTCTTCTAAACTTAGGCTGGTGGACCAATATCATTACGATAACAACAGCAATCATGAGTAAATATGCAGTTGATGGTTTATTTGGAAATGCAATTAAGATTATTGGGATATTCTCTTATCATGCATTATAAGACTTACAGAGAAATAAATAAATAAATAAAAAGTAAAATCTTCTGTATGAAGAATAAAAATAATTTTTCTTTAACTTATTTTGTAATTTATATTCTATTCTTTAATAAAATTCTGTATACATTAGTAGATATAGAATCTTCTTTTTTTTTTGTTTTTCTAANCACCCACACCCACACCCACACCCACACCCACACCCACACACCCACACACCCATAACCACACCCACACCCACACCCACACCCACACCCACACCCACACACCCACACACCCATAACCACACCCACACCCACACCCACACCCACACCCACACCCACACACCCACACACCCATAACCACACCCACACCCACACCCACACCCACACCCTCTCAAGTCTAGTAAACATAGCAGAAGTGCTTTACGACACAACGAGTTTCATGAAGAAAACAGCGTCATCAGAAAGAGCACATTGAATTACATATAGGGTAAAAGAATCTCGTTAGTACATCCGTACAAAATATGAGCTCATAAGGTCAAAATAATCATTATCTTTAACAATATGGTCCGATTGCGAGTGCTATTGGCCATTTATCGGTTCAAATAGATATTATTATTTCGGTTGTTTTTATATATTCTAATAGAGAAAACAATTCTGCGTCGAATGAGTCTATTTTCTCCAGATTCTGATTGAACTTTGACGGACTTCCAGATCAAAAACTGTTTTTCAGGGGTCCCAGAAAGTGCTTCAGATGTTTCTTATTATTCGACTAATCGTTCATAAAAATGCTGTATCTGTAATGAGGACACTGAGCTCTATCGAACTAGAAGTACTTATAGTAACACTGGAACACAAAGTTTTTTCTATTCCCGAGGGGAACCTCACGTATGATCAAATAAGTAGTGATAAAGTAGGAGATAAGCTAGTGAAAAATAATTGGCAATGAATGCTGATTCTCAGAATAATAATATTAGCTTCACATTTGTTTCTAAGCTAATTCCACACTATCATATAACTCCTTTGAAATATAAATTGATATTTTGGCAGCATAAACTAGGAATAAATGGATAATCCAAGAGACTTTGGGCAAGATGAACCGAGATGGCACAAAATAGCTTAGTCGATGCAGTTTTTCGTGCTGATTATGAATCGAAAGTTGAAAATTTGTTTTGGTTAAAACGAATCAATGAATGATGAAATATTATGACGATTCGCACAAAATAACTTGGAAAAAAACAGTCTTTTCGCGTTTGTGACTCTATTTTATCAGCAATTGCTATGCCTATGAAAAGTTAAATATGCAGTTCGATAGAGGAGCTTCTGCTCTATAGAACTGTATATAGCAACAAGTGCAAGAATTTCGTTTTTTATTGAAGTCATAAGTCAACATTTACCGTATTTTCCTCATTTTTCGTATATTTAGTAAAAGATGTATGCGCATAGGACCAAAACAATATGCCAAGAAAATACTTTGAAAAATGTCATATAAGACACTTTTCAATGGTCCACACGAATCTGACGTTGAGATTTTGATTTAGAAAACAGTAAGATGATTGCTGGCTAAGATATTGCGAAAGATCACATTTGGAGTCGGAAAAATGAACGAAATATGGGTATATCAGTTTTTCGTTGATTTCTCTCTTATTTACTGTTGAATGCTTGACTTTTCGGTAGCCAAAATGATCAGGACAAAAAGTTCTATAAGATAAGCCCATTTGAGAATCATTTGAAGATAGTAGCTGTAACGATGGGAGGAATTCCATGGAATTACCCATATGTTTCGAGGATCTCCAAGTCATGAAGTTTGAGTTGCGATAACTTGAAGCAATATAAAAAATAGATGTATAATAACGATGCCCTATCTTTTATGTTAAATATACAATAAAAAACTGTTGCATGAGTGCACTGATGTAAAATGAGTGACTTGTTGCTTATATTGTAACTGTTCCGCAGATTTCGCTCACGAAAGATAAGTATAAAAGCTAGTTTTTTTGAGAATGCTGCACTAATATTTTGTTAATGAAGGATTTCAATAAAACTCTGATTTTTCATCTGCAGAATGAAGTTGAAGAAATCAGAAATCATTCACAACGAAGCTTTGGTTTAGAAATGCTCGTGGAAAATTGTTGTGCTACAGATCTAATGGTTTTTCGAAGTAAGGCGAGATTGGAATTAGATGAAATTTAAATAAAAAAGGATAGTGCTGTGGAGAAATAGAACGAAACATAGCAGCGGCTAGTCGTGAGTGGCGCCTCGGAGGGGCTCCGACGAACGCCTAACAGCTGCATTAGAATGTCCCTTGAATGAACGCTTCAGGCTGTTGGGATTCATCAAATAAACCTCAAGAATCTAGATCTAACAGGCTTGAATAAGGAGCAGCAGTTGCTAAGAACTGAGAAATATTTTGAAATAAAGTGTGAGAACGGCTTTTCTGCACGTGCGCGATATTTGAATAGTACATTTGAGGGAAAGCATCATTTATAGAATTTGTATTTGTTGCATCTGAATGAGATTTGAATGAAATAAACGGTTTTTTTTTCTGCTGGGATGCTTCCTTGTCGATATTCATTCAAATGTCGGAGTGTATATGGCTATATTCAAATTACCTATCTAATCTGATGGCTCTTATGAGTAGGAGATTCTTTCGAGTATAACAGTCCGATTATAGACCAGATCTACTATGATTGATTTTAAGCTTGAGGTTCAAGTCAACTCGTATTTTTCTGGCGGACACTCTAGTAAAAAATATTCTCGGCAGATGTGTCAGCAAGCGAACGGATTTTTAGTAGAAATTTGAAGGAGTAATGCACATTTTCAAGAAAGTGTCGCGAATGAGTTTTGCTTCTTTATCTCTCAGAATGCTGAAAATATGCTCCTTTTCTGGGTACATATGGATATTTCCGTCATAGTGTGGTTCCTTAGTTTTTTTTGTTGAGTGTCAATGTAAGGGTGTCAGTTTGATTAGATGTATTTGTCACAAAAATGTTCATCCAGGCCCGCATACAACTGTGCACAATGAGATTGAGGCTAATATCAGCGTACACCCACCTACCCAGCCTTTTGGAACATTGGGTACTAGCTGTGTTGAAGACTATAAATCGGTATAAAAATGGAAAGAGCCGAATATACAGTCGAGGGTCAAGCGAGTCACACAGACGAGTGCTACTTGTCATAATTGCTACGATGATAATCTGATGAAGTTCGAATGTCGGAACTCATCGATGTTAGATTCAGGTGTCACGGCACCGTATAAAATAAGATAAGCTACAGAATCGAAAGGCTTTGGACATTAAATATCTTAAAAAACATAAGTAAGTTGAAGCTTAATTTGCAAGTATATTCTAGTGATTGCGAGACTTATCTATGGACTAATTTTCAAATGAAAATCTCCTATTTGGTTATTCCACAAGTAGATGACTCAGAGAGAGAGAGAGAGAGAGAGAGAGAGAGAGACGTACAAGGGTGTGGGTGTGGGTGTGAATAAAGAGAAAAGACACCCACACCCACCCACAGCCACACCCACTCACACCCCACACCCGAGAATGTTTACGATCATCCGAAGATAACGTTG